TTCTAACTGTTGGTTATGCCCAAGGATTCCTTCCCCCCGCCGTTGTTCTGGTGGCACAGCCACGAGCTTGAAATGGACACCCGAGTTTGAGTGGAGCTGGCTGCTGGTGACGTCAACAGCTCCACGAAGTACGAGCAGATCTCGGCCAATGCCGTTTGCTTCAAGCACCGGGTATGTCTCTCGTATCACTCACAACCTCGTTCCCCAACTCGTAGATGCCACATGCACCCAAGAACCACCATGCGCCCCATCCAGCATACAGCAGCGCAGCTCGGCTATGGCTCCTTCCAGCTCGCCCGTGAGCGCGTGAATGGTGGCCAGCGTTAGCGCAGCAGCGCTTGCGTAGCATGCAGCCAGTGCCCGAATGTGCAATGCGTGGGCAGGGCGGCCCTTCCCTATGTCGAAGTGGCCTGCTGCTGAGTGCGGTAATGCGGTACTGGGCCCTGGCGTGGAAGCTTCCGGTAGGCCCCATGAGGCTGCGCCTCAGTCCAAAGGAAACAGGCCCAGGGCTTGTGGTGGTTACTAGCGCCCAACTGCCCTCAGCGTTTGTTCGGTCCATGTGTTGTATCCGACCAGGGCCTGCCTCAGTTACATACGATGAAAGGCAGCCTGGGCCTGGGTGCTTCCAACCAACTGGTGCTGCGCAACTGCCTGAATTTTCCCCAGGTGTGTAGTAGTCCAAAATAGGCCTTGGTCGGGCCTGCCTTCACTTAGGGCGGCCGACCTTGCTGATAACAGGGCCCAGTGGGGCTTATTGAGGCCTTGTGCCTCGCACCTGTATTAAAAGAAAACAAAAGAAATGGCTTGAACCTGAAATCTGCGAGAGGGAAAGCAAAAAAACATGTCAATAACGAAGAACACATTATCTCAGCGCATGCTCACGCACAACACCAACATACCAGTTAGGAAAAAGAGTGGGAAATGGGAAATTGGTCTTTCCCCCATAGGTCAGGAACAATATGGGGGGGTTACTCTAAGAGGCTGGACTACATATGTAGATTACCAGAGCTCGAACGACCGTACTTTCAAAAGGGATCTGCATGAATTTTTGGTTAAGTATTTTGATCCAGGTCCACAGGCTACACTTACGGAAATTGGGGAACAGGCAAAAATGACCAAAAGGGATACTTATGTGAAGTCCGAGGTTAACAAAGAATCGGGTCTTCGTTGGTTTTCCCATACAGCATTGCTGGAACTTCAATATTTAAAAATTAAGGCAAATGCAGTATGGTCAGTAGGGGAAGTATCCGCTTTTTACGAAATGGTGTATTGACAACCTCATCCAGTTTGGAGGGGGGTAACTGGGTACGATTATAAAAATATATTGGTAGGGACCTTGAGGATTCAAGATGAATGCACTGCAGGCTTTCTATGGTAAAAATCCAGCTTGGTTGCGTGCTTCTCAAAAAGCAGATTTGGATCTTAGGTCTCTTAATTTAAATGGTCTAGCTACAGCTGATGCTATAAAAAGAAGGGCAATTATGGAGCAATTGAAAGGAGGAGGGGGGAGATCTTGGCCTGATTTAATTTGTATTCAGGAAACTCACCTTATGAACACTCCTAAGCATAATAGAGTACATAATTTAGTCTGACCCTATCAGAAATATCAAGCCTTTTCCACGGCCAATGGATCGGCGGGGGTTGCTATTTGGGTGCCACCAGATTCAAGGATAGAAATAGTGTACTCTAAAGCTGACCAAGAGCAGGGTAGATGGCTAGTCACGTTGGTAATGCTGTAAGTAGAGTTAATTTGTGTGATTAACATTTATGGTCCTAACACTGCACAAGAGCGTCGAGAATTTTTTCAGGAAATTAGGAACCATATCCCTAGAGGGGTACCTATTATCATGGCATGTGACTTTAATGCGGCACCGGATCGATGGTTAGATAAATGGAAAATTCCGGATCCATGCCCTACATATATAGAGGAAGATGAACAAATTTTCCAACACCTAAGTGAATCAGAAAATTTATTTGATACCTATAGGAGGTTATGCCCTCAGGAACGATCTTATATGTGCATACGAAATATAGGTTCCCCTTACCAGTCAAGATCAAGGATAAATTTGATTCTTATGTCGGAGGATTTAGACTACGCATTGATGGGAGTAAATATTTTTCCGCAAAGTCCATGGCCAGGAATGGACCACAAAATATGTGCAACACTACTGTCATTTAGAAAGAAGCCAGATCAGGGTAGGGGCTTCTACAAACTCATCTCTCCTCAAGCGTAGGGATTTTAGAAGCTACATACAGGATGCGTGGCAATTTTGGCATTCTACTAAGGATAGATATGACTCATATATAGCATGGTTTAATAATGGACTAGTATTCTTGGCTAAAAAGTGCAATGAATATTCTAAGTTAATGGCCAAGGAAAGATACAATCAGGAAATGTCGATTCAGGAACAAATTCTTCATTACGAACAACAGGACATTCCAGAACAACTATGTCAACCTGTAGACATTCGAGAACTCAAGAATCAATTACTCACTTTTGCCGAACATCGTTGGCAAGGATATATTATCAGAGGAAAATTATTTAAGCATTTGACGGAAGGACAAATGGACTATTCCTTTTTGTCTATGGCTCGAGTCAGAGCTAGACGTACATCTATCGAAGGACTTATGGATCCGTTACAAAGACCGACACAGGAACCTTTCACCTCAACTAGTAGTTTGAAAGTGTGTAGCGGACCTCGGGTTGGCTTGTGAGACCAGCCCCTTGGTCTGTTCTCACAGGCCTGTGCTGTATTCGGGGTAGGCCAGTCCAGGCCGGTACCTCTGTCGGTACCAGCCCGTCCAGTCCAGTCTCGTCAGTCTGCTAGGGTATACCCCAACCATTGTTTGTTTTCAGCCTCATTCTTCACTTGCACATTTTGGAGTACATGCGTTGGAGTCTTGTGTGGGGAGCTGCGCTGTGCACCTTGCTCTCTCCTTCCTCCATCTCCATCTCTGTCACTAGCGGAGCACCACACCTGGTGGGTCCGCTACATTGGTATC